CTGCCAGGTCCTCACCTGTGAGCCCCAGGTGACAGCCCTGCAGTCAGGGAGAAGCCCACCTTCCCTTCTTTCTTCTCTCCCCCAGGCCCAGCATGGTACCTGGGGCATGGGGAGGAGGGGCTGAACAGTCACTTCCGTTCTGGCCTTTGACACGTGTGTGTGTGTGTGTGTGGCGCATGTGTGCATGTGTAAGAGGATCCCTGCCCTGCCTCCTCAGGGGCTAGAACTCTCCTGGTTGCAGTCCCAGCTCTACCACCTAACAGCTCTGCTACTCTCAGCACGTAGCTTACATTCTCTGAGCCTCTGTCTCCCCACTTGAAAACCCCAACCGTCCTTCTGAAGCACATGTCCTCACGAGGATTTCTAAGAAGAGGCATCGGGTCCTCCTAGGCATCCCCTCTGCTCGGGCTCCGGATGTGTTCCGTGAGTGCCCCGGGCAGAGCGACCTGGCAGAGCAGGAGCCTGGAAATTGGTAATTTATCAGCATCGTCATCACATGGAATGGATTGAAATGGTGAATGGAGAAATCACGAGTCTGGAATTCTGAAAGGCCTTTGAGAAAGCTTCCCAGCACTTCCTGGAGAAGTAGCACTGAGGCCGGGGTCAGCGTGGGGGCAGAGAATAGGGATGGGGGAGCAGCCGACAACTCGGGTCCTGCAAGCCAGAGACCCCATGGGCCTCTGTCCTCCGCTCGGGACTTTTCTTGCACTTTGGTCATTGACATGGATGGAAGCCCAAGGGGCTTGGACCATTGACATGGATTAGCTGGGAGGGAGGACATCTGCATGGGCAGTGAGCTGTCACGGACGTGGGCAGAGGCTACAAGGGCTGTCCACACCCTGTCACCAAAGGGCTGGGGGTAGTGACACCAGGCAGCAGCCTCGTGCAAAAGTCCCTGGGGCCTTAGTTGACCTAAGCACAGTGGCACAGCTGCCTGAGAAGCGCAGGGGAATGGGGCTGTGTTAGCAGAGACACAGCGCGCCATCTGGGGAGGGGGCAGGCTTGGTCCCCGCGGACTGTGCAGGCGCCTTGCTGAGCTTTAGCCATCAGACCCTGCGCCAGTGAATGAAAGCAGAGGCCTCCACCTGTGCGGCTGCACCCGCCCAAGCACTTTGAACCTCCGGAGTCTCTGTGAGGTTGCTTTAGAAGAGAAGTGCTTGTTTAAAAGAGTTCAAAACTACCAAACCGAGTGATATTCTGTGGCTCCAGGATAATTTTTGCAAGCACATTCATTCATTCGCTAGGCATGACACCAGCCCTGTCCCCACTGCCCCGTTGCTTTCAAGCTCCTCCGAGAGCCCAGACAGACTTCCACCTGTGGTGGTCACATACCTCCTTGGGGCAAAAGTTGGTGGCTGTATCGGAGCCAACCTCGGTAATAATAATAATAAACTACTGTGTTTAGTTGCTTAGTATTTACCGTTTTACTGGGGATAGCTTACCTCATTTAATCCTTCCCACAACCCTATAGAGAAGGTATCATCCTCAACCCATTTTACAGATAGGGACACTGAGGCTCAGAGAGGTCCAGTAATTTTCCCACAGTTTATCTGAACTAAGATTTGAACACAAGCAGTGTGAGAGGACTTCAGCTGGCCTGAGGGGTGTGATCAGCCGGGCTGGAGTTTGTAGTCAGGGCCTCCTGGAGAAGGTGGATAAAGTCAGGCCCTGGGGGTGTGGAAGGGGAGGGGATCCAGGGCTTTGTCTGTCCTACTTAATCCTCACTGCAGCCCCCACCCAGTTCACAGAGAGGTGGGGGACCTTGCCTACCATCTCACCGCCAGGGGTCTATGGAGCTGGATTTGAGCCCCATTTGTTTGTCTGGCTCCCAGCTCTCAGCCACTGGGCTGTCAGTGGGGGTCCACGGCAGTGAGCATCGAGAACCCTGTTCTACTGAAAGAAGGGACGTGATTTGCCCACTGCCCCTCACTAAAGGTCGACTAGGGTCTAGAACAAGATTTTCTGACTTGAAGGCCAGTCATTCCCTCTTCCTGAGTTCAGGGCTGCAGCTGCCTCCAGAAATCATGTCCTGGGACCTGCCCATGAAGGCACAGGAGAAAAGGCTCGTCTCCCTTCATCCAGGGATGGGCGAGGAGCCACCCTTGTCCCTTTACCCCAAGAAGGAGGTCAGTAAGCAAGCTATGAGGCTAAGCAGGGCAGGGAACTGGAGTCCGGGGTCTTTGATTAACCTTGCCGTGTGACCTTGGGAAAGACCTTCCCCTCTCTGCGCATTATTCACCCTTGTAATACAGTCTTTTGGATCTGAGTCCCCTTCCAGCTGTGGCTTTCTGGGATAATGAGCGTTTGTTAAGCCTGCCATATGTAGAGCCCTGAGCTGGGTCCTCTGGGGGACATAAGGTCCTCCATGGTGGATATGTTTGGTGAGGTGGGGGACAGGTGAGCTCCCTGTCCTTTTGTTATTCTGTACACTGCTCACTTCATAGTGTTCATGTCAGTCTTGGTCACTATGCCTAGCACATGGTAGGCTCTTGACAAATGGTGAATGAATGATATTATAGAGAGTTTGAGTCCCCAAGGTCATGGTCAGTTTGGGGAGGTACATTCAGAGTAGGCTTCAAGGATGCTTACAGGTAATGCTTATCAGAGGAGCATTAAGTGTAGCCTTGATGGTGGGGGTGGGGAAGACGAAGTGATACTGTCCCACTCAACCTCTTAGAAGGAAGAAAACTTTTTTTTTTAAACTCAGGAATAGGATAAAGCTGTCCATATTGCTACATAATGAGCTCCGTAAATTGTGAAACATGCTTTGTGGTTCTTTGTACCACAAGAGTGTAAAAAATTGTGAAATTTTAATCAGTGTAGAAAATAAAAACCAATAAAAAGTACAAGCTCATTGGGGGAACTTGCTTGACAACCACACCTGCGAGAGAAGAACCCATCCAAGTTAGCCAGGCGCATCCCTCCTCCCCCAACACCTGCCAAGAGGCCAAGGTTGGGAGAGCCCAGAGCTTATTCAGGGGTGCAGGTCCCTGCCTTCATGCTGTGTCTCGCAGAGAGCCTGCTGTCCCCCTGGCCCACCACCTTTTGTGGTCCCTCTGCATTAGGCCTCGTCCTGTCTGTGGGTCACCACTCTGGAAGAGGGTCCCTCCTGTAGACCCTAACCCCTAATAGATAATTGTTAAACTTTAACTGATTAGAGTAATACCAAGCTGTAGAGGTGAGAGGCATTTGGATTCCACTGCCTGGGAAGGCCTGAAGAAGGGCCTTGAAGGATGTGCAGAATTCTGACAGGTGGCCACAGGGATAAGCCTTCTATGGATGGGAGAGATTGAGGGGGAGGAAAAAGTAGGGGCAGAAAGATGGGAAAAGGGAAAGCTTGAAGAGGGTGGGCAGGAGAGGGGGGTCCTATGGGAAAAGCTCTGACATTAGGCAGGTCTGAGAGCTGTGTGTCCTTGGGTGAGTCATTTCACCTCTCTGAGCAAGGTTTCTTCATTTGCAGAAAGGGATGTTTTTCTGTCATTTCTGTTTGTGTGGGTGACATGAGATGATGGGTACAACCAACATTTGCTCTCATCAGTCTTGGGTGCCAGGGCCATAGAGATGGGCAGATCCAGTAAGGGCGTGGACTACAGCAAATGTCCAACTCTCCCCCCAGAGCAAAGAGGGCCACCAAGCCTACCCTTTATTGTGTGACGGATGAAATATGGTGTTCAGGTTGTGAACAACATTAACTCTGAAATGAGTTAATATCTCATTCCCTTCTATCCTTATATCACCTGGAATTGAGGCTGGGGTGGGTGAGTCCCCAGAATCCCTCTCAGACAACTCCACCCACAGGGAATCACTCTTCCTGCAGTTTTCCTCTCCCTCCAACTGCCTGAGGGTACCAAGTCCAGAACACCCCAGGCTGTGGCCCCTTGAGCCCCCAAATCTACCCCAGGGTAAACTGGTTCAACCTGCTGTACTGAACGCTGTCTCCTCCCTGTCTCTTCCATTAGACCCGGAGCTCTGGGGGCTGGACTCAGCTTAGGTTCCGGTCTCAGAGTCCAGCGCAGTCTGATAGATGCATGAATGGCCTAATGGGGAGGCCCCGCTGAGGTCTGTCATTCTCCTCCCGGGAGTGGACCCCTACCCGCCATGGGTCATGAATGGGCCAGCAGGCAGCAGTCTCTCTAGGGAAGATCCAGCCTTCCCTCAGACCTGGCTCCAAATCTTGAAGCACGCAGTGGGGGTACTTGGCAAACCCTTCAGCCCCTCGGCCTCTCCTTGAGCTAGATACTAGGTCACCCTGCCCCCAAGGTGGTTGCCCCTGCTGGGGTACAACGGTTCCAGGCAAAGGGCTCCACCCCGAGGGCCTGTGACAGTCACCTGCGAAAGGAAAGACGCACAGGTTAGGGGTCCAGGGTACTACCAGGAGCTGCGCTAGCCGGTCATTCCCCAGAGGACCGGACGCCTGCTCGCAGAGCCTTAGTTTCCCCCATCTGTACTACCCGGGCTGAGAACATCGACCTCGCGGGTGGAGGAAGGCGCTTTGGCAATCCAGGACCGGGAGGGGGGCGTGGACTCCTCCAGGTGGGTGGCGGTGTGTGACCTTGTTACTGTAAGAGTTGAGGAGGCTGCTGCCGCGGAGGCCCCCCGAGGGTCCCCGCCCCTGTGCAGCCCCGCCCCCTCAGCCCCCGGGGGCTCCCCCGCCCCCGCGCCCGGGGGGCTCGGGCGTCCTCGGGAGCGGCCGGCGCGGCTCGGCTCGGCGTCGCCATGGCAACAGCGGCTTAGGGGGCGGGGGCGACGTGGCTGGCTGGCTGGCTGGCTGGCTGGCGGCGCGGGGTGGGCTGGGCCGCGCTGCGCGGGCCGGACCGTCGGCGCTCGGTCGGCGGGCGGGCGGGCGGCGCGGGCCGCGAGGTGCAGGGGCCAGCCCGAGCCCGCGCCCGCCCTCGGCCGCACGGCCGCCCGAGCCAGGGCGCGGGTTCCGCGCGGGTCCCGGGCCCGCCGCCGCCGCGCTAACCCCGCCTCCCTTCCCCCTCTTGTCGCCCCGCGCGCAGGGCTTCCTCAGCCGCCGCCTCAAGGGCTCCATCAAGCGCACCAAGAGCCAGCCCAAGCTGGACCGCAACCACAGCTTCCGCCACATCCTGCCGGGGTTCCGGAGCGCCGCCGCCGCCGCCTCCTCCGCCTCCGCCGCGGACAATGAGAGGTGAGCCCGCCGTCGCCGCCGGCTCGGCCTCCGCGCGCCGCCGCCCCGGGATGCGCCCCAGAGGGCGCGGGGACAAAGCGAGAGCCGGGCTGGGGCGCGCCGAAAGCGCGAGGGCACCCCACGCCGCCCTCCGGCAACTTGTGGGGCCATCTCGGACGGGGGCGGGGCGCGACGGGAGGACCCTTCTCACTCCCCCAGGGGTGAGGACCGGGTGCCCGAGCCTCGGCGCGAGGCCGGGAGGGAAGTGCCCTCGCCGAGAAGTCCTGCCTCGCCTCGCCGAGGTGGGCATTGTTTCCCGGGCGGTGCAGTGCCCGGAGCTGGGGACAGAAGTGGCGCCTCCACCCCAGGATCCATCCCCTGCCTCTGGAGCCCTTGAGTGTCCGATACAAAAGGCATTTCGGCTGGGTTTTGCGGAAACCCAGCGGTGACGAAAAGGGTGAACATCTGGAGGGGAGGAACAGGGGGCTGGGCCGCTTAGGGGGCACATCTGCTGTAAGTAGGGCGCGTGCTCCGCTGGGGGCTGGGGTGAGCAGAGCGGGCAGTGCCTGAGGCCAAGGAATAAGGGCCTCATCCTTTCCAGCCCTGGGCAGCTGCTTCCCTCCCTCACCTCTCCACTCCCAGGGGTGTCTCCTATTCCCTGTTTCCTTTTCCTGGGCAAGCCAGGAGCAGGTGTGGAAATTCCAAGGGGAGGTGGCTTGTGGGGCAGAGGAGGAGAGAGAGGAGGTGGTTCAGCCCGCCAGGAGTCACTGGCAAGGAGCAGGCTTCACCTGGCAAGGGCAAGCCCTCCTGTGTGCTTGCGGGGACACCCGGCGGACACAGCCTCTTGGGGCCCAGGTCCCCCCCTCCTTGAGCCGTGCCAGCCCCAGCACCTTTCTGCTTAGGCACAGCATGGTGGTGGATTCTGGTGCCAGTTAGAACGTGTTCCTGCTCAGCTAAGTGGGGGTGAAAGAAAGAACGGGCAGGCAGCAAGGAGCCTTTTCGGCATTCAGCCCCAGCATCTCAGGCCCCTGACATCTGCCTTCCTTCATAGGGCTGTGCCCCTGTGTATGATTGGTGAGTTGGCACTCCCTGTAAGGGAGGCACAGGTAGAATGAAAATCTCTCTCCCCTCCCCCTTGGTTCCAGAAGGCAGAGGAGTACAAGTTATAGCCCAACTCCTGCCCAAGGTTGAGTGACTGTTTAACTGACCCCTAGCATCTTCCCGAAGAGTACTCTTTCCACTCTCCAGGAGAATTACTAGACCTTTAATTTTCATCAGCCCGGAGCTGCTCTCTCTAATGCATCCTCCCCACTGCCTGCAGCTGGTTTGCTGCCCCAGCTGCCAAGCCCAGCCCGAGGCAGGACCCTCAGCCTTTTTCTGATGGCTGTGGTGCCCCAGGGGACCAGGCGTGCCCTGGCAGGAAGATTTAGCCAGGCCAGAGCTCAGCGCTGGGTGCAGCCACTGCGTCTTTGAAAATCTCGGTTCCCATCTTTGTTATTGTCTGGGCGGCAGGCCACCCGGTTTGCTGCCTTCCTCCCTCCGCCCGGCCCCTTCCTCTGGCTTTCTTCCCCAGGAACATGCCCTTCTCTGCGCTTTCCTTGGTGGGGGTCAGGACCCTCTGCACCCGCATTCAGGGCCTCGTGTACGTACCCAGTTTTGTGTGCATGTGTGGGTGTCTGGGGAACAGGAGAGACGGCAGGCGGTCCGGCCTCTGAGTGTGCCTGCCCTCCTGGGAGCAGACAGCAGACAGCGTGCATGCCATGTTTACCTCCCTCCAGCCGGAAGCCTGCACGGAGATGCCGGCGAGCGCTCGGCTGGCAGCCCTGGCCGGAGGTCAGGGCCTGGCTGAGATGACCTGGAGCAGGTCCTGCCCAGCTTGGCCTCAGGTCAGCTTTGCCACATGCCGGAGGGGCACGGAGGGGGGTGGGTAGGGAGTAAGACTACAAGTCTGTTTCTAGAAGCGGTGGTAAATGGTAGAGGTTGGAGCAGAACGTCACTGACAGTGGTGTGGAATTGTCTTATTAATTTTCGATAAACAAAATCTGGCTTGGTGGCTTCTCTGGCCCAGGAAGGGAGCCCAGACTTCCCACGGACAGGCGGAGAGACTGGGTTTGAAGCCCTCCTGTCCAGCCTTGGAGCGGCAACGGGCTTTACTCGGACTGGGGTCTCCTGGTGTGCTGCTTTGCCTACAAGTAGATTTAGCGGCTGCTGGTGGGATGGCTGGGCAGGTGTTTCTCTGGGGCAGTCCCTGGATTCGCCCTGTTTGGAGTTGAGTGAGTCAAGCCAACTCTGGCGACCCCCACCCCCACCCCCCAAGCTCACGGTCAACGCTGGGTGAGTGGAGAGGCGCCTCCCCCCGCTCTGCTGTGGGGTGGTGGTGCTGCTGAAGGCTGGGAAGACAGAACGGCTGCCTTTGGCTTGGCTCATGGAACCCCGCTGGGCTGCCGTGCCTCTCCCTGGGAAGGGGGCAAGTGCAGAGACAGCGGCCTCACTGAGGAGATGGGCACGGGAAGGGGGCTGGGGGCCTCTAGGGTGGCAGATGTGAGCTCCCGTGGCCGCCTCATGGGGAGAAGGAGCACAGGGAACTCAGGGGCGGCCACTTGGGTTCTGACTCTGGATGAATCTGTCTGCTTTATGGCTGCTGAAGTGGCTTTGTTGCATGCTCTCTGTGCTGGGGATGTTATTTTCTTTTTGTGCTGGGATTCTCTCATCTGGGAGATTTTTTTGTGTGTGTGCCGGGATTCTCTCTTCTGGATTCTCTCATCCAGTTAGCTCCGTTCTGGGATCTTTCAGCTCCTTGGGAAAGGAGTCTGCCCCAGGTGTGGAGACCCTGAAGTTAGCTGATGCAGGGAGAGGGCTGATGCCTGGTTGTGAGGCTGGGGTCAAGCCAGCCAGGGCTTGGTGGGCACAACTGGGCTCTGGGGTCCCCGAGGGCCACAGGACAGGTTTGAGCCTTTGCACTTACTTCCCTGAAAACAGCCTGGGGGAGGTTCCCAGTCGGTCTCCAAGATCACTGGACCCCCCAACGCTCATTTCTCCTTTGGAGGTTTTGGAAATAAGCACCAAGGACAGGTAATCATTTCCCGTGGATAACAGAAATGAATGCCGCTCGGAGGCTTTCCAGGTGAAAGGTGTGCTGGCAAAAGCACTTTTGTTTTGCAGGCTGGAAATGTTCCTGCTTCATTTACAAGACGGTATTAATGTTGGTAAAAGCGATCTCGGATGTGGTGCTTTTGCCTTCCCAGAAGATAATTTCCAAGTCACTCATTTATTTATTAATGTTGCTGAGTATCTAGGAGGGTCAGCTGGCAATACTGTGCTTTCCTCATTTTTTTTCCTCGCTGATACTGTATCTGGGTGACTCTGGCCCTTCACACAGGCGGGCAACCCAGGTGCAGTTACCCGAGGCTGATATGTGTGGAGTGAGAGATTGATTTCCCTTACAGGTAGTATGTGTGTTGCCTGGAGTTCCCACACCTGAAAGTTACTAATGGTAGGATTCCAGGCAGTGTAAGACTAAGGAGGGAGATAATTTGGAAGTGGAGGGAGGGGGCTTTCAGGGACCCTCACCCGGCCCTGAGTAGGCAGGAATCAATTCTCCCCCTTTGGGTGAGGCATTCCTTGGTGGGAGGAGAGGAAGCTTGATGAGGAACAGGAAAAAATGGAAGACAGAATCTGTTGTCTGTTGACAGCAGGTGCAGGAAGGGCTGGGCACCCAGGCCTGGGTTTTCTCTGCTCTCTCCCTCCCCTGCTGTAGACAGGGAGAGCCTGGTCCTTCTCTGCCTTCCCTTGGGTGATGCTGAGATGATTGGGCATCTTAGTCTCTGCGAATAATGGGAAGTATGTGATCTTTGGATTTGAAGCCAGGCATTCCTGGGGCAAGTCACTTAACCTTTCTGAGCCTCAGTTTGCACATTGGCAAAATGGGTCTGATGATAATAGTGTCGTTGGAAATGATATTAATATATTCAGCATGTGTTTAATAGAAAATGTCTGTCCTGTTCAGTACTGTTTCCTTAGCAACTCACACTGGGTCTTACACGTTTCTTAAATGTTTCTAAAATTTTATTAAATAAGTTATAACACGCGAGAGCGGTTAGACAGGTGTGTTTTAGGTTTTCAGTAAGTGGTAGTTAATATTGGTGGCGAACAGGCCCCTCATCTTGGTAAGCCCCAGTTTTCTCATCTGCAGTGTGGGAATAATAACATGCAATCATGCGGTGTTATTTTGAGTTCGAGAGATAATACTCGATGTTGCTGTCCCTCGTAAGGTGAAAGGGGCTGCACAGAGGATCATTACTACTTTGAACACAAGAAGTAGCCAAGTGGAATGACCCGGGTCTTGTCTACACCTGGGAAAGCAAACCTCTACTATATGTGTTTTAAAAATTGACTTGTAAAGTTCACTGTTCCATCTGATGTTCAGGCCTTACTTGTTTTTAGTAATTTAGGCATAAATGGTTATGTCTAGTTTTTCTTTTTTAAAAATGGTGCTGGTATTTAATCCTTGAGTATGCATCATTTACCTACATCCGTGATTGATTTCATGAGGTAAAGTCTTGGAATTACTAGGTCGGAGAATATGAACAGTTTCAGGTTTTTGATAAAAATGCCTCCCATCGAGAGCCTGTAGTAATTTACACTCCCCCAGTGATTTTTGAGGGTGCTCACCTGTTTCCTTAGACCTTTAAAAACATTGGGTGTCATCATTAACACAATCTTCGTCATTTGTATAGGCAGAAAAATGGCATTTCTTTGTTGTTTGCATTTCTTGCTTGTTAGTGATTGAACACTGTTTTCCTGAGTTTAAGGGCCAGTAGTGCTGCTGCTTTTGAGTCTTGTCTGTTCGTGTCCTTTGCCTTCTGAACGTTCTGACAAGTCCCTTGCAGGAGTCTTAGCTGCCCTGTTTGGCCTTCCTCAGCTCTGAGAGGCCTCATGTAGGTGGATCTTTGTTAAATGGGTCTCTGTCTTCCAAGCGGTATGGCCGGGAATTCATTAATTCCCTGCAAGGAATGCTTCCC